AATTCCAAATTGCACAGAAGAACAACAGTACATAATCTTACTATGATCGACAATACTTTGAAACTGTAACATCCATTGACAACTATCCATTTTAGTGGCAAAGTTCCACTTTTGTGGCAGAAATTAAGTCAAGTCTGAAAATTTCTGGGGGGGGCTCGAGCCCCCCCTGCCCCTCCCCCTGCTACGGGCCTGGCGCGTTACGCTCACGCAAATGTCCCTTACTCAGAAGAAGAAACTAGCCCTTGAGTTTTGCGCAAAGCACATAGAAGTCATTGTGTTCGTTCAGAAAGCATAAAAGACTATTCGTCATAACAATTAAAACGATTAACTTCAAAACAAATGTAGGTCACTTGATGCAAGTTGGAAAACTTCCCCACTGCTACAAACTGTGGTGTAAGGCCGCGCGAAGTATCACTGGCTTTCTATTGAAAGATTTAACACCATCAGACGCATCGCCACGAAATGTTTCGAGCTTCTCTAAATTTGTTTACCCCGTAATTACCCCAGAACGAGCAAGAGATTCTCACGCAAACTGAAGTGGCCAGCCAGTGGCCAATTGTTTAGAGAGGAGGTGCACTCTAATTTTCACAGCGGGACCTGCAGGCTCATTATAATTCCATTAGCGGTTCATTTGATTTTGTATTCATAACACATGTTTCTGTCGTTTCTTGGAGAACTTTACGGGTTGAATGTGACGGGAAGACTCCCTAATCAGCTGTCCTTTCATTCCTTGTGGAAAACATAAAAACAAGCAGGATGACTAAGCTAATAATATCAAAAAAAGTGGTACTGTTCTCTAATAAAATGTTCTTGAAGCTTTAATAAGAAGTCATCAGTTTCACCTTTCTTATGGACTATAGCGCTCTAGTCGAATTTCACAACCAGCTAAAATTCTCACTAGACTCGACGAGAGCTTGTGCTTGTTTGACAAGCAGAATATGTCAACTCTTTCCAGCGTAGGCTGTCCATTTAAGTAATTCGACCACACTTCATATAGAGAAATGGCTTTAAAACCCGGAAAACTTGAAAAGAGCAAAGAAAGATGCAAAGATCTAGGCTTCGGGTTCACGCCCATTGCACGATGATCCGCGCTGATGGCAGTCGAGGATAGTCCGTTATCAGTGGTTAATGGTCGAAGAAAACTTACTACCGTTGCCGTAATCTCCTAAACAGCTGAAAAGAACTGAAGTCTGAACCCATGAAAAGATATCAGGACAAAGGAATTCAACATCGACAACTTAGGGAAACTCTAATTGTTACCCAATATACCCTTTGTTAACTCGACACATTAAAGCCGCTAGGCGTCTGATATTTGACTTCGAGTAAAAATAAAGTATGGAAGTATACGATGACAACTTTGCTGAACAAGCAGCAACGCTATGCGCTCTACTGTAAGAAATGAAGCATGGAAGCAAATGACTGAATTCGCCATTTTCCTTATTTAACAACGCAATGGACCTATCATAGTTTCATCAAAGTAGGAGTGATGTTCTTTTAGCAGTGATATCGCACTTTTTAACAACAAGGGACTGAGTCACCGGTATGTTAGCTTTAAAGTAAAAAGTTGGACAAATTTGTAACGTGAAATGAAAGCGTAACAATAGCTCTCCCTTGAGAAAAGCAAAGGAAGAAACAAACCCTTTAACGAAAGCCGACTGTTTTTAATTGAATGACACTTTGCATAAGGAAGGCAGTCGCTAAAGTAAAACAAAGCTTTATACTGAAGTGGTATTTTAAGACTCTCACAGATGCTATCAAAGTCTTATTCTCCTCGCAATTTTGACACATTGTCAGTAGGCAGGTGATGAGAAAAAAGAAAATCATCAACTAGAGCGTGTATAATCTTGATCGATAACCTAATTCTCTGAACTGTCTTTAAAAAAAATGTATGAAATTTCCGTATGGAGAATTGTTTGTTTGAGCTTGGGACTGTAAGGATTTTAAATTCTCGTTGTAGAGCTCTCCGCCAGTGAGTGGCACAAAAGCAAACAAGACTCTTTTTTGCTTTTGATGCCGCAAGATAAACTTAAATGAGCTTATATTAGTCACGGTTTGGGCATCTTGAAAAGTTCAACCTAAATTATTCTAGTTCGTTGTTTTTAATCCGTGTTAATCTTCTCCATCCTTAACCATCCTTGTTCCTTTATAGTTTATTATTATCTCTTTGGTGTTTTCCTATCTGTGTAAACTGCTATTTTCGGGTTTCCTTCAATTTATAAAGGTAATTTTGCAAGTGGCCAAAATAACTCAAAATATCGTGACCGAGCTTCTTTATGTTCGAGAAACGAATGCTCGAAAAACCCCGCACCCTTACAAGTGAGTTCGAATCAAGGTAAAAAGGTTGCACATGCAAACATGTACAGGTGTCAGAGTTCTAAAACCTGAACAAGCAACCAGCATGAACAGGCTAAAACTGCGTGGGAAATGATCTTAAGAGACGGAACATGCATGATATGGGAGATCGTGCGTGTGAAAAAATTTGACGGCTCGATGGACACAGGTGGTTCGTTCAGGGAGCACTTTACATGCACGAAAATGCGTGGGTGTCGCTTTCGAGCTGCCAGTATAGTAACGGGAAAAGCTGCCAGCTGTTCACTTTAAACAGCTTCCGTACAAATGAACACGAAAATATTAATTGATGTGGAAGTGGACGAAGAATCTTCTGGAACTTAGAGGTGTAGATAAAATAGCTTTCGGGATTTAGAGCGATTCGCTGTTTTTGTTATATTCCGGAAAATCGTTGAATTGAGAAGTTTATAACCAAGTTACCTGGGTTGTAAGCGATTGAAAATGGTTTCGAAACCAATTTACTTTGAACATTGACCTAGGAAATTTATAACTCAGTGTCACTGCGAAGTTAGAAATAAAAGGCTCCTTCAGTGAATCAACAAGCGTGAGCCATTTGCAACGTTTGCGAGCTGAACTATACAAACGGAATAGACAACGCTGAAAGAAAACAGCCTTCACTGTGCTGAACATTCCTGTAGCCTACACCCTGCCATTTTGTTAAACGAGTATAAATAGGTGCAAGTTTAATCGCCAGGGTTTCACGCAAGCGATAAAGAAATTGTGAAGTGGTTAACAAAGATATTTTCCGAGCTAGCTTGTTCTGACATTTATGGCGAGAAGTGCAAAACTTTACTGAGAGGATCTTCTCAAAGGAAATTCAAAATTGTATTGAAGAGACAGAGTAAATATCAACTACAATGAAATAACAGGTAATTTTCAATGGCCTTATTAGTGAACTTTTCAAGCAAATGAACAATAGACAACCAGTTAAGCTGCTTCAATACAAATTTGTCGTTTGGAAAGGGAATACAAATTGAACGTGCTCGTAAACTTTCTCTCTAAAGAAAACAAACAACAGAGGGATTGCCATCTGTTTTGCGTGTCCTACAAAGCTTTCGTTCTGAACATGAAATTATGTTTTTAAGAAGACCTAGTACCTGTAATTAATATTCGATTTGAAATCGAAATGAAGTAGAAAAATTTTAGCGAGTAATTACGCTGAAATTTGCAATTTGTGTTTTATCTTCAAATTCTTTTTGGCGCAACGGACTCTTCAAGTTGCGCGGAAAACTATATTCTCGCAAT